TCCATCTTAGCAGATTATTTAATAGAAGAGCTCACGTGAATCTGTGGAGCAGTGCCAACCATACACTGTTAAAATCTGACAGATTAAAGAAAAAAAAAAAGGTGGGTTTCATGTCAGGGCATGCCACATGTCAGAAATGTTGATGGTGTCAAGCTGTGAATACTTTGATTTAAATGTTAAGTGGTTAAAACGTTCTCATTGCTAATCTGAGTAGGAACTAATTTAGACTTTGACATAGGTTGATTTTCCTTTGCATCTCTTTTAACCCAGATCAATCCATCAACGGATACTTATTGATATTTAGCACTGCCAGCTCCTCACCTAGCTTTGTGCTTGGCAAATGTTTTATTCTTAACTAGTCAGTAGCCTCTAAGGAAAAGGGTTAGTTAGCAGTAGAAGGGTTATTTTGAAAGATTGTGAAATTTCCCTTCTAGATAAGGGTAAGAACTAAATAGTCACTTACTTCCTAGAATCTGAATTTTCGTGCTGTGTGAAGCCAGAACGATTTTCACCGAATGCAGGGAAAGGATGAGATGACTTCTGGAAGTTCCCTCTACATCTATGCTTCTCTTCTTATTGGGGGAAGGTGCCGATTCTGCAAAGGGGTCATATTGATTCTCAGAACCTCTGAGTTGTGTAGGACTGAAGCAGTGATTTGGTAGAGCACGTCGTTTAATGTTTGAATCTGTTCTTCAGACTCTCTGAAAGCTGTTGATCGGCCTCTGCTTGAACAGCTCCCGTGATGTTGCTCTCACTAATTCACACTGGTGTTCATCACCAGGAACTCAGGGGACAGTGTAGTATTCAGTTTGTCTGACTAATGTTATCAGACGTTAGAGAGGCAGCATGGTGGACAGTGAGGGGTGGCATTTGGAGTCAGAGGAGAAGGGCTTAAATTGAAGTTCTGCCACTTAAACTGTGTGACCTTAGGCAAGTCACTTAACTTCCCTAGGCCTCAGCTTCCTCATTGCTAACATGAGGTTGTTGAACTCAGTGATCCCAAAGGTTTCTTCCAGAACTAAATCTATGAGCTTATTAATTTTGAATGTTGGTTGGTTACAATTCTATTTTTTTCTCTTCTTCCTTGGGAACCATTATTTCATTGGTATAAATTATGGAAAATGCTGTCTCCATGTTTATGAGAAAAGAAAGAAAATTCCCTTTTTGGGGAGCATTCAGTCCCCAATTATGTCTCTGTTGTGGGGGCAGATGTGTAATATGAGTTCCATCTTTCATCTATAACCCCGTGCTTCTCCCATACTTTAAACTGTTTGAGTATGATCCTGTCATGCTATTTGGATGAGGTTAACTTTTGTTTATTCAGAATTCAGAGGGAGAAACAAAAAAATTTGGGGGACCTAGAAGTGACTTACTTTCTCAGCATTGAGAAGGGAATGACTATATGGTGAAGCTCTTGAGGACACTTAGGAATATCAAGTGTATATTAAGATGGTACTTCATTCATTCATTCATTCATTCATTCCACAAACATCAGTTAGCTTTCATTAAGTGCCTGTATGTAAAGAACAAGGAGTAGCAGTGTTTGTGATGTTTTTCCACTCACCCTGGCGACCTGTTTAATATTGATTGATTGATTTCATCCATGTGGGGAACTACCCTTATGGAAACCCCCTCCAGCAATGCAGATGGATAGAAGGCTGACCTTGACTCGCTTATATAGAAGATAAGTCGTGTTCAGTCTATGGCATCTGGACTAGCATTGCTATGCCTTCCTCTCTCCACTACTCATTCAGATTCTGGCTTTGACCTAAAGTCACGCATTGTCTACAGGAGAGGGAGCCCACTCTGAGAGATAAACTGCATTGGTAACTTACACCAAGGCCCACACCAGGCATCAAGGTTCACAGGCCAAAAAGCTCCCACATATTTAAGCTTGCTCATTTCATCCTTCAGTACTTGAAAGAAGCTTGGGTTTAGGATTGGTCAGAGAGAAAAAATGAAATGCTCAAATGTCAGATCTGTGGGGAATAAGATACCGACTTTCCGTTGCATTAACTTGATTGACTGGGTGCCAAATCCTGGATATTAGGCTAGACAGGAAGCCTCACTGGAATGAAAGCATTTTGTGCTGGGTATTCCAACATCCTAGGAATATTGCTTCCAGCTTCAATGACAGGCTGTTCCTTCCAAAGAACAGACCGCCCAAGTGAGAAGGTTATTGGCACTGTTGTTTGGGGTCACACATGTCATGTATATTTCATTTGTGCAGGCTCTCAGGGAATGATCTCATTATTATCATGCCAATAAGCTCCTGCCATCCTCTCCTTCCTTTTCCTTCTCTTCCATCTGAGTTTTCTGAAACCTGTTTAATTCCCAGCTAGATGACCTTCCCATTGACCTTTAGATGTTTCATGCACTCAGTTGACTTTTTGTAGTGAGAATTATCATATAACTTGTGTTCTAATAGGTAGCATTAATTTCAATGTTGGGCCCCTTTTACTCATTGTCAATTGCAAAACAGATCTCAGAAGACAGGGACCTGGTTATCCTCCCAAGCAGGATCTGCCTATCTTGGGCTAAGCTCACCTGTGTTCCAAGAGTACAAGTGTTTGTCTGTGTTGCTGGGATACAGGTCTTTCCCCGGTACTTGACCAAGATTGCATTCAGTTAAATACTGTAGTATTTTCATGGATCTATGATCTTGTCAGGGTGGGCATGCGTTCTAGTTGTAAGATGTATTCAGTTAAAACTGCTTCTAAGTGAAGAAAAGAAAGAGTTGAGGCTCTGGGTCTAACACCTTGGGCTACTTGTGAATCAATAGCTAGTATTTATTTAGCTCTTTAAGGTTTGCAATATACTTATTTGATCCTCACAACAACCCTATCATTAAATGCTGTTATTATTCCAATTTTACAGATGAAGAAACTGAGGCTGAGACAAGTTAAATGACTTGCGCAGAGACACACAGATAATGTGTCTAAAGCAGGTTTTGAACTCAAGTCTTCCTGACTCCAAGTGTGACACCTTTACCCACTGTATCACCTGATTGCCTAGTTACATGTGAATTATGTGATGCACCTACATGCATGTACCCAATCTATTCAGAAGCGTTAATGTTTCTCTTTCTGAATAAGATAGGCCTGGAGAAAGGAAGACCAGTGTTCAGCTCTAGCCCAGGAGAGGGCAAGACCTCTAAGTGCCCTAAGAGGCTCCTGCTTTGGCCTTTCTACTAAGTGACAAGTCAGTGGTGATGTGTGTATAAGTGATAGGAGTTTGCACACCTACAGTTTCCACACAGTGGGAAATCATAAGTCTTTTGTGTATACAGGCATATAGCATCAACATAATAACATAGAGGTAGCAGTGATATTGATGCTGGCAAATTCAAATGAAAACAGATGGCATATTGACTTAAAAAATCACAAATTAACATTGGCAGTGTTGTATTGCATTTTTTATTTAATTTGTTAAACATTTCCCAAGTACATTTTAGTCTGGGGCTGCACACAGGCAGGAGGTTTGTGGGTATGTTCTGTCAGGAGACTGTAAGTTTGACATCTCTGAGTAGTGGATAGAGGGCTGGGCTTGGAGTTAGGAAGGCCTATGTTCAATCTGAGACCTACATTTCTACTAGCTGTGTGGCCCTGAGTAGGACTTCTAATCTCTGTGGGCTTTAAGAAGCCCTTCCCTGTTTAGGCTTATCTCCTAAGTCAGGGGTGGGTCATGATCTGTGTGGGTAGAGGGAGTTCCAGTATCTGGAGATTCTTACACAAATGAAATCATAAATCTTTTGTGTATTCATATATAACTATGCTGTTGTTGTTTAATTATTTCAGGCATGTCTTACTCTTCATGACCCCATCTGGGGTTTTCTTGGCAAAGATACTGGAGTGGTTTGCTATTTCCTTCTCCAGCTCATTTTACAGATGAGGAAACTGAGGCAAACAGGTCAAGTGACTTGCCCAGGATCATATAGCTAGTAAGTGTCTGAGCTTAGATTTGAACTCAGGAGGAGGAATCTTTCTGGTTCCAGGCCTTGCAATTTATCAGCTGTACCACTTAGCTGCATGCATATGTGTGTGTGCACACATATATGTGTATATGTATGTGTGTGTATTCACATATATAAGTAATAATGCAATATAATATAATATATAACATACGTATGTTATATTAGAAGCAGTTGGTGGCGGAGCAGATAGAGTGCCTGGCCTGGAGTCAGGAAGACCTGAGTTGAAATGTATCTTCAGGTACTTACTAGCTGTGTGAGCCTGGGCAAGGTGCTTAATTCCTTGCCTCAGTTTCCTCAACTGTAAAATAGGGATCATAATAGCACTGACCATGCATTATGTACTAAGCACATAGTAGGTGCTATATACATGCTTATTTCCTTTCCTCCTCTCCTTTGTAATTTATGTACCTATACTGAATCCTGTGGTAAGCACAAGATTGTTATTTTTATCCTCATCATCCTCATCTTCATCCTCACCACCTTCCTCCACTTCATCCACATCCCAAAAAAGTCCTTATTAAGCACACAGGCTCTGTTTGTACAAGACTGCTAGTGAGGATATGATGAAAATATTTGACATTTTGATTTTGCATGTCCTTCTATGGGTGTGTTTGTTTTTTGAACATGACTGTTGACTATAAATTGTTAGGGATCACTTTTCAGAGGCTATTTAAAAAAATAGATTGGACATGAAGTTCTTTTTGGACCCCTGGGAATTCTGACACATTAATTATCATCCCAAAGGAAAGAGGTATTATGGAAGCTTTAATTTTATGCTATGAGATGAATACCTGAGCATTCTGCCTGTTTCCTGTTTCTAAAATAAGGTCCTTCTTGTTTTTTCTTCCTCTCACTAGAGAACTGGATAAACTTTAAGCCTTTATGTGAATGACTTCATACAGGCTGGATCAAAGCAAAAGTTATAGATTTAGCTCTTTGATGATCTCAAATGTTTTATAAACTAAGGAATGTTTTTATAGACTTAAAAAATTGACCATCTTTTTTGCTTTCTTTTTCCTGTTTTCAGAATGCTTTGACTAGATCAAGTTCTTTGGGTGACTTCTCCTGGCCACAGAGGTAAAAAATAGGAAAAAAATGTTCATTTGCTTTTTGTCAATACACCGTATTAAGGGATTCAGCTTTCCAGATTGTTTAAAACATGTAAATGCACACCTGTGCATGCACATGCATATATACATGTATATCATAATTGGGATCATTGTTAGCTTGTTCTTAATCATAGCAGTTTTCCTTAATTGTAATTTTGTGCCAAATATGATGTTTTGATCTCCATATGCAATGTTTTCATTACAGAAGGCTGGTCACTGTGGAAAAACAGGATAATGGAACATTTGGATTTGAAATTCAGGTAGGCAGTTTAAAGTTTTCCAAACATTTAAGTAAGAGAATGTTTCAGGTGGTGTCATGGTTAGCTCCTTTCAAATAAGGGTTGAGATAAGAGCTGGAGAATGAGGGAACCAGTCTTGAATATTACAGTGGCAGCTGGATTAGACCTTGGGTGGGTGGGAAAGGGAAGACCAAGGCAGGAAGAGGCTGTAATTGAAGAATGAAACAATTTGAGAGCTGCTCTTTACCTTAATCTTTATCTTAATCTTGGGCAGCTAGGTGACCTATTGTATAGAGTGTTGGGTGCTCATCTTTCTGAGTTCAGATCTAGCCTCAGACACTTACTAGCTGTGTGACCCTTGGCAAGTCAGTTAACCCTGTTTGCCTCAGTTCTTCATCTGTAAAATGAGCTGGAGAAGAAAATGGCAAACCTACTCCAGTATCTTGTCAAAAAATCCCTAAATGGGGTCAGGAAGACAAGACTGAAAAATGACTGAACACATTACCTCAGATTAAGGAAGGCAGAGGCCATTCAGGTTCTTTTGATGACAGCTGGAGAATTTGATCACAGCTTTAGAGCTACAAGTAACGTTAGAAGTTATCTTTATTTTACAAATGAGGAAGCTGAGGCTCGGAAGGATTAATACAGGACTGTGCTGGAACCAACTCTATTTGACTTGTGAGAACCTATGCTTACTGTTTCATTGTGAGCTTTTACATCCCAGAAAAAAAAAAAAGCAATTACTACAGATCAAGGCTTGATTTATTGTTTTGTTGATTGTCTAGACTTAGGAAAGTGTTAATAACGCAGATTAAATTTAAAAGTGTTGCACCTACTTGTCCCCTCCCCCTTCCTAGCCCATTTGTTAAACATTTATCAGCACACCCCTGTTCTGCTTTATAAACATTGCTTGAGCATAGCTTCAGTGCAGTAGAAAACTTAGGGAGAAAAGCTGTCACCAGACGGGAGGCCGGGAGGCTGCTGATAATAATAACTGGTCTTTATATAGCACTTTACAGTTTCCAAATTATCTTATTGGAGCCTCAGAACACAGGATTGGGGAGCCTGGGGCCTGATTCAGTCAAAAGGCTGCACTTAAGGATCTAGAAAGACACATTTGGCCTCAAGGCTACAGGTTCTCCACTCCTGTGTTAAGGAAGTGATTTGTCAGAATCGCACAGAGAGTTCACAGCAGGATCATGATTTGGCCTCAAGTTCTCTGGTTCCAATCTGTGACTGTCCCGTACATTTTGCTCCCACCTGTGGCTAGGGATTATAGGATCATAAACTAAGAGCTGATAGGGACAGAAGTTCTGTCGTCCAACACCCTCATTTTTCAGTTGAAGAAATTGAGGCACAGGGAAGCTAACTGACTTTCTCACCGTCACAAAGATAATAGGTAGGATTTGAACCCAGGTACTGTACCTCTAGAGCCATTGTACAAATATGTTAGTAAGCAACTCAATGATAGGTGACATTGTTTTAGTTACATTCCATTATGATGATTTTCAGTGAACCATAAAAGGCAGAAAATGCCAAAGGCAACCCTGACTATGAAGAAAAAAATACTTAGATTGAAATGTTTACAGTGCTTCTTTGATTAAGGTGTTGGCTCTTATTGGATACCTTTTTGCCTCATTCCCCCACTCCCAGTGGGCCTTCTTTCCTTCTTGAAATTACATTGTATTGTTGTTTTGTATTGTGTTGTTTTTGAATCACTGGTGCCCTGTATATGTATCATCCAGCACATAGTAGGCTCAAAGTAAATGTTTGTTGACTGAATCGAATAGATACAGATTATGAGCACCAACCTAAATGACTGGGCTGTAGGGATTTTATTTAATTTTATAGGTGACAAGGAAATATCTAGTGATAATTTGTTTCCTGAAGTGAGTCCAATGACACTTGATACTGTTGAGTGTTTCACTGATGAATTAGATGGTTGGCAAATTAGAATTGTTTTTGGTAGGCTGTTGCATTTCACTGAGATACACTTGACTTAATCACAGATTTATCTAGTTTGTGGCTGAGATTTTTGCACATAGTGCTTAGGTTAGCTGAGACAGTGTAGGATGCTAGAAAGAGCGTTAATGTGGGAGCCAAAGGATTTGGATTAGAATCATTTTACTGCCATCTACCACCTTTGTGATTTTAGCAAGTCACTCAGCTTTGGTGAGCCTCAGTTTTCTTATCTGGATTAGGGGATTTTTGAGTTTGCTTCTAGCCCTGATCTACAATGCTTCAATTTTCATTATAGGTATTTCCTTGAGGAATAAAATGACTATTCCTTGCCACTGGCATTGGAAAATCAGTCTAAAAATAAGAAAATGCCACTTGCAAGAATGCCATTTTCATGTGTAAAAAATACAAATGATCTCAATCTAACTACATTGAATAAGACTAGGGAGAAAGAGTTAAGCCAACTAGTGGAAGAAGGCTTATTATCTACCTTCATGTCACCTTTGCTTTAAATTAATGCAATCTAGAAATTCCCTGTTTTGCTACAAAGATACTGTTGTTTCTGTTGCTTTTTTGGGGGGGGGGTAATGAAATATCATCTGACTTGTAACAGCATCTATAGAATCAGAACAAATGACTACATAGTCTTCTTGGAGGAAATAGCACCCTCTTTCCTGTGCATAGGTTCTTTCCACAAGGAATGTCCATTGTATACATATCAAGAGGTAAAACTTTAATCACATCATCATACTTAGAAATAGAAGGGACCTCAGAGATCATTTAGCTCAACTACCTCAAAATTTTATAGACAAAAGGCAGAGAGACTTTTCTAAGGTCATCGAGGTACAAAGTTCTAGCAGAACTGTGTAAGAAGAGCTGTCTTCTGTTACCAGATTCAGTCCTTTGTCCTCTGATAACTAAAAGTGCTATTAATGGAAACTTCATTGTCATCCTCAAAGATCAAGATCAGTTAATAATTTACAATCTGAATAGTGTTTTTTTTTTTAACTCTCCCTTAAGTAAGACTGTCATTAACTCTCTTGGAAAACCCCTTTTCTCTTCATGTTCAGTCCACACTTGTGCACATATAGTCTTTGTACAATTTTGTTCATTCGTGTTTTGTACAATTTTATTTATTTATTTATACTTTCATTGTTAATTAATTAATGAATTAGTTTATAGTTTATTCCATTGGTCAAATATGAAAAAAAAAGATGAGGAAGCTTTTGCTCTTTAGTCAGTTCCAAGTAGCTCTTTTCAATAGTTTACAAATAGGGGGAAGGAGAAAATGAACTAGCTGACTGTGGGAAATCTATGCTGGAGAAGGCTTTTCTCCCTTCACTGTGCCAATACTGTGCTCATGAGAGTCAGCAGGGCACAGTGGCTAGGAAGCCAGGGCACGTGAAGCCAGGAAAACCTGGGTTTTAATAAAAAGTCTCAAATCAGAAATGTAAACTTGGGCAAATCACTTAACCAGTCAGCCTCATTTAACTCATATGCAAAATGGGAGATAATAATATCTGTACTACCTGCCAACCAGCCCGGAGAGGGAGTGTGGTGGAGTGGATAGAGAACTGGCCATAGGCCCAGACCAGTTGCGAATGTAGCATCACATTGTATGCGGGAGGCGGGAAATGAGATGGAATTTTTACCTTATAAACCAGAGTTTGGTGATGTTGCAGCTCTGAAGAAAGGAAATTAGGTTTGAGGTAGAGAATCAGAAGCAGGGTAAATTAAATTACGCACTAGACTGTAAATTCTAGCAGGCCCTAGCAGCTGTAACACTATAACTAACCAAATACAAGGTCTGCTACAGTGGGATTCTTTTCCTACGTTCAACTAAATAGCCACTGAGGGCCCTTGCAGCTCTCAAATTCTGTGGTTTTGGGACTTTTTAAAAAAATACACAGCTAGGTGGCACATTGGATATACAACTGTATTTGGAGGAAGGAAGACCTAAGTTTCAGTTCTACCCCAGATATTTACTAGCTGTATGATACTAGGCCAGTCACTTAATCTATGTGAACCTTGGCTTCCTCATCTGAAAAATGGGCATAATAAAGCACCTAGCTTAGGGGTGGGGAACCTGTAGCCTCAAGGCCATATGTGGTCCTCTAGGTCCTCAACTCCACAGAACAAATCTCCTTAATGAAAGGATTTGCTCTGTAAAACTCAGTCAAAAGTCTGCACCCAAGGACCTAGGAGGCCACATGTGGCCTCGAGGCTGCAGGTTCTCCATCCCTGACCTAGCTAATGGGGCTGTTGAGAGAATGAAATGAGATAACATAGGTAAAGCATGTTGCAAACCTTAAAGTGCTATATAAATGGCAGCTATTGCTATAATTACAAATTTGCATCATTAGTACTGTAGGGAACTTTGATTTTGTTGGTATGGGAACTCCCTTCACCAGTGCGGATTGCAGCCACAATGCATTATGTTTTTGCTGTGGCCAGAAAAAAAAAACCTGGTGATAAGCATCTCTGGACTTAAATATGTTGTTCCTTAGGAAGCAGTAGGTTGCTGAGTATGTACCTGGACCCCTTTTAACTTGATAGGACCCACCAAGATTTGCAGTCTGTTGGCATAGCATGAATTTAGGGCCTCTCCAGATCTATAAAGAGCTCCTTTGATAAACTTGAAATATCACCCTTTAGTTTACCATATACATAAAGACTGAAGAATGGTCCTCTAGTATCTTTGACGACTTGATTCTCTTTTTGTTCTTAATTATTTGTGTATTGAAATGTTTGTGTTGGTTGATGTTATGTTATATAACAAAAAAGAAAATTATACATGAAAAAAGTGAAGTTTTATAGAATCTGAAGTGGATCGCAGTTGTTTCTCCTAGATAGGAAATATTTTGATGTATGTAACTTATGTTTAGGAATAATTAAACAAATTGCTAAAATAAAAAAAAATATTTATTTTGGTTCAATACAAAGCTAGACCTCATAAAGCAAGAGGGTGGGGGGGAAACTCATTAAGCTTAGGATGTTGGGACAATGTGTTGATCCAATATATATCCTGCGTTTATGCATCAAATTAAAATGATATTTTTGCCAAATTGGTATAATAGGAGAAGCATAACTTTTTCTAATTTAGTTCTCTGACTAATGAGTCTGTAGGTATTCAGGGCAGGCATAACAAAGCTTTCAGAAATGAAGATAATTGAGTCAATTACTGTGCTTCTATATAAATGTGGAACAGATTGTCATTATTTGTGGAACTCTAATTTAAAATAATTAATCTTTGCATATTTCTCTCTGTACCTACATCTTCTTATTCTAAGGTAAGAAAATACCCAGCTGGAAATTAACATGAAGGGGATTTCTTTCTTTACCTTGTACCAGGACTCTTGTTCTTTTAGGAAATAAGGAGAAATTTATTAATTAAAAAATGAGCAATGATGATAGTTTGAGTATTCTCTAAAGTTAGAATAGCTAATTTCGTGGGCTACTCTGAACTCATCCTTCTATTCTAAAGTTTTGAAATTTAATGAGATTGAGGCTCAGTTCCCTGGTAAAACAGTGCATGGTGATCCATAGTGACAAAAGATTGTCCAGAATTGCACACTGCCCCTGGGTACAATTTTTTTTGGGAAAAAAAAAACATTATCATATGTCGTGCATGCAAACTAAGAGGGGAAATTTTGCTTTTAACAAATGAATTTGAAAGTTTCGTGTAGTAATCTTGAATCTTGTTTTCATACTTACAGACTTACCAACTGCAGAACCAAAATGTCTATTTGACTGCGATGTACACATATATCTCTAAAGTACAGGAGGAAAGTCCAGCTTACCGCTCTGGACTGCAGACTGGTAACTAACATGTAATCCCTTATCCTGCCTTTTATCAGGTAGTATGTGGGTAGTATGTCAAGTTCATGTGATTTGGGTGGGGGTGGGGTAAGAATAAGGGACTTCCTTCACCAGGGCACTATCTAGTAAATATCAGAGGCAGGATTTGAACTCAGATTTTCTTGACACCAAGTCCAGTCCTCTGTCCTGTATCCCATGATGCCTCTACATTTGCCAGACGAGCTATTTTAACTGGTTAGCTAGAAGTAGTAATTTCTTGACAGCAAAGGTTGATCATGCATGCCCATGTTCTATAACTATCCCAAAAGCCTGTTGAATTGAGATGAATTTTCATCCCTTTTCGTTTCTTTATTGAGAAGAGCTTTTTGCTTTGGTCTGAAGTGCAGACCCAGGAGGGCATGCTTTTGCAGAACACTCATTTCTCTCTTCTTTTGCTTTGCATCTCCCAGGTGATGTCCTTGCTAATATCAATGGAGTTAACATGGAAGGTTTTACTCACAAGCAAGTGGTTGAATTGATAAAATCTGCAGGAAACAGGTTAAGGTAACTATTCAGTACCTACCATTGGAATGTCTGTTGTTATTTTTGCTCAAAGAACATAAGAAGGAAAGCAGCAAGGTCCAGGTGTTCTATTAGCTATAAGCAAATTTTTAATTAGTCTCCCAGTTTTTCCAGTCAGATGAAGTTATGAACGTCATAGGGTCAGTGTATCTTGAGTTCAAATATGTAGGTTTTCACTGTTAAAGATTTTATTTTCATTTTAAAAGATTCCATATACAGTGGACTTGACACAAGTTATTTCGGGGCTCAGAGGAACTTCTTTGATTTTGGTGGGTTAACTTGTATAGATGATCTACTTTATTATAGGGGTTCTCAACCTTTTTGTGGGTTCTGGAGCCCTATGGTAGTCTGGTGAAGCCTGTGAAACCCATCTGGCAATCATGTTTTTAAATGCATAAACTAAGATACATGGGATTGCAAAGGAATAGATTATATTTAAATACAGTTATTAAAATATTAAAAAACATCATGAACCACAAATTAATAACTGTTGCTCTGTTGCTTAAAACAATAGAATAAATTGCTCACATGAAAAATTCAGGTACCTTTTCTACATTATGAAAGGCATAGTGGAAATAAAACTGGCCCCAAGACAAAAACTCTTGTTGAAGTCTTTCTTCTGAAACATGCAGAGTCTGAGATCCTGGTCAAGTCACTCAGCCTCTCAGTGTTCTAGGCAACAGTCTCACTTTTTTAAAGAAAAAAAAATTAAAACTAAATTTTATTTTTTTCAATCAGGAAAATCTGCCTTCTCTCCCTTCCACTCCTGCCTTTCCAACTCCCTTCATTGAGAATGAAAGAAAAACAAGACCCGTTTCATTGTTAGAATCACTGTCACTGTAGGCCTAAGAACTTGGTTTCTTCCTGGTTTGGGCTGGGGTCCTAAATGAGGTCACGCAGCTCTGGGAACATGGGTTGAGTGTTATAGAGATAAAGAGGTCAGATACTCTATTCTTGAATGCAAAGCGTACATCCTTTCATGGCTCTTCTAATGTCTGTTGTCTCCCTTGGTAGTGGGAGTAGTGGGGTTGGGGCGGGAGGGAGGGTTGATTAAATAATGGACTGGGTTGCAAGCCATGGGAGGACATGGACAGAGGGCCTTTCCATTTTTTTAAAAAAAAGTGAGAACCGTTGTACACTCTCTGATGTCCTTATGCTCTGCAAAAATATGAGCCTCCTCAGAAGTGCTTCTGTTATGCCCGAGGCACAGCTCATTCCCTAGATTGTTATCGGTATAGTAAATACAAGCCTTAAATCATGTGAGCATCCAAAATACACTTATGGTAATTGATTGAAACTGATGGCACATTTGCTCAAATAAAGGTTTATAAGTTGAGCCCTTTGTAAAGCCAGATCCCCTAGGAAGGAAGATGGCTTCTGTTTTCTAGCATGTAGCAGCCCATCTTAGAACAAGAGTAAAAGTAGTTTACTGAAGTTGTTTAATGACCAAATGAAATTTGTGAAATCCTAGGAATCACCTAATGTGATGAAAGGTGTACCTCACTGTTGGCTTTTTTCCTTCTGGAGCATGGAACTTCTATGTACTCCCCTAACCCATGCAGATTGGCAGTTCTGTATTTTATAATCTTAGCGCTAGGGTTCTCGACCTTTTTTTGTCAGGCTTATGAAGCCTATAGACCCATTCTCAGAACAATGTTTTCAGATAGCTGAAGGAAAAGCTGAACTTCAGTTGGAGATTAGTGAAATTAAAGATGTAATTTTTTTCTTATTCAATTTCAGGGTTTCCTGAAATCTGTTTATAGGCCTTCAGGTTAAGAACTCCTATCTTAGCAAGTTGCCTGTATCACTAAGAAATTAAGTGACTTCCCCATGGTCCCACAGTGAGATGTGTCAGAGACAGGCCTTGCACTTGGTTGGGTCTTCCTAACTCCAAGGCTGCATTGCTGTGCTACATTATTTCCTTAAAGTTTATTATCCATACTACAGCTGTTCATTCCCAAAGAGCTCAGAAATTTACTTTTAAAAACCATCATAGACTCTTAGAGGATGGCAAGAAACTGCAGAAAGCATCTAGTTCATCCCCTATCTCTGGACTTTTTGTTGTTCAGTCGTTTTTTCTAGTTGTATCCAACTCTTTGTGCCCCCATTTTGGGTTTTTTTTTTTGACAAAGATACTGGAGTAGTTTGCCATTTCCTTCTCCAACTCATTTTACAGATGAGGTACTGAGACAAACAAGGTTAAGTGACTCCAGCTAGTACTAAGTGTCTGTGGTTAGATTTGACTCAGGAAAATGGGTTTTCCTGAATCTAGGCCCAGCACGCTATCCACTGCACCACTTAGCTATCTCTGCACTAGAACATACCAAATCTAATTTTGAAAAAATGATTATCTATTTGCCTTTAAATATGTCTGGCAGAGACCAATCATTCATTTTGCCCTCTCAGTAACTTCTTCTAGGGCAGAGCAAGCATTGTTGCTATAATGTTCATCTTGGTACCTAGCTATTCAAAAGTTTCTTAGATTAGATAAGAGAAAATGATATATAATTTACTATACTGAACATTTTGTTTCTGTTTCCCTCTCAAGGGGAAGTTTTTTCTAGTTTCATCTGAAATTTTTAGAGAGATCTGAGAACTTGAGTGTTATATTTTTCTCCAGAACCCGAACTAAGATGAGTTGACTGGGGCTTTCCACCAAAATTTAGGGTGCATGGACCACATTTGAGATCCTTTAGTTGTATAGAAATAGTTGAGCTTCTAAGGTATTTGTTAACTAATTAACTAGTTAGTATAACTGTTAGTTAATGCTTTGTAAGTATAATTAGTTATCTTAGGAAGCTACTGTCTGATAGTACAAACATTGTTCCTCCTCGTGTCCAGGCACATTTTGTACCCCTTTCCCAGTACAAAAATTGCTGGTTATGACTTTGTTATTCACTACCATACTTAGTATAAAGACATTCTATGTAACCTAATACTCTGTATCACATGTTTCTTATGTGAAACGTTCCCCTCCCCCCTTCTTTTCTTAACACAGGCTGGAGACAGTTAATGGAACGATGATTCTCAGAAGGGCAGAGCTTGAAGCCAAGCTGCAGGCTCTGAAGGTAATTTAATTTAATGCCACGTGGCCATTTTTCATCCTTGAATGAATGAGATGTGCAATAAGGGTCTATTTGAGGAACTGAGATAGCCCTTGAAGATGAAATGTGATGATGAGAGTTTAAAGTGCTGAATGGTCAAGAGTGACAGAATTCCATCTGCATGAATATCAAATTCTGCACACCGATGATGCTAAATCACCATCTCTTCCTGCTTAGACGCCTGTGTAGAATGTACAGAGAGCCGACTGAATTAGTGTGTCTGACTGTGTGCATTGGGATTTGCTTTTTTATTTCAAAAGAGCAGCAATAGCTTTTGAGCTCCAGTTTCAAGGGCAGCTTTATGCAAAATGATGGTGCTTCACTAAAGACAGAGATTGCGTGGCCGTTCTTGAATGACTGGTCTTGATACCCTTTTATGTCCTTTTATTATTCAAACATTCCGTCCCCTGAAACTATCCTTTGATGGTTCTGTTGTTGCCCTTGTAACTGGTGGCCTCGGCAAGTCTATAATTATATTGAAGAGTAAGAATGTTAATACTGCTCTAGGACACATTGCATGGAACAGGACACACCAGTTCCCTGGGAACTGGAGTTTAAAGACTCACTGAATGGATACCAGTTTCTTCAGGTGACCCTATGGATGAGACAAATGTTAATTTGGGAAAATATTCTTGAAACTTGCAAATGTCCAGGTCTCTAAGAGTGGGGAAGTGTAGTAGGGTCTAAAAGTACACTGACAACTTCTTTGTCCTCAAGGGCTAGAAATGGCTCACATCCAGAGGTTCCCAAAGTTATTTGGCCTACTGCCCCCTTCAGAAAAAAATCACTTAGCACTCCCATGGAAATCTACTTACTTGCACATTTTGCAGCCAATGCATGCTGGACTTCCTGACAATGCCCTCCCCGTCCCCACACACACACACACACACACACACACACACACACACACACACATTAGCCTGACGACACTTGCTTGTTAAGACCTGTTGGTGGACTTGACCACTGATTGGTTATAACTTGCATTTTGTGTGTTTATTTGGAAAATAATGTAATCACTATGACTTTAACTGTTACACAACAGATGACACATGTTTGAATGGTTTTTAAATTTTTCTTCTCTTCCTTCCTTATACTTCTGCCACTGCTGCCCCTTATTTTTATTCAATGTCCCCTAATTGCACCTGAGGCTACTACTGCTCCATGGATCATTCCAGTGCCCCCCAGGGGTGGTATTGCCACTTTGGGAATCTGTGCTCGTGTGAGGCATGCAAGTGAGGCTGCCCTCAAGCTTTGTCTTAAGCACCCAATGCTAGTTGCTCACAATAGACATGCAAATAATCACCCAATTGAATTGAGTGGATTTAAAATTCAGATGTTTCCAGTTTAGCTGGGAGATGTCACTCTACATTAGGGTAGGCCTAAGTGTCCTCTTATCGTTCCCTGGATCCAGACAACTTCTCTACCCAGAGATAATGTACTTGAGTAGGCCTGACTTCCTTAGGGCTCTTGGAGTTGGAATATGGTACATTTCAACTTGGACCTGGCTTTATTAATTTCTCCCAAGTCTCCTTAGGAAATAATTGCATATGCCAAATGTTCTCAACTCCGAGGACGCTGGGGGCTCAAGACAATACCTTTTTCTACTGATGCCAGGCTCATTGCTATCCTTACACTTTTGAGAATACGATCTCCCCACTCCTATGCCCTGTATTCTCTATCTCTTTTCAATTCCAGTCTTCTGCTTTCTTCAAAGCCTAGCTGAAATCCTTTGAGAAACAGCATGGCACAGTGGAAAGAGTCCTGGATTTGACCTCATAGGACCAAGGTGCCAATCTTGCCCATACCCCTTAGTACCAGTGTGACCTTGGGCAGGTTCCTTAATTTCTCTGGATCTCATTTTCTTTATCTAAAAAATGAAGGTATTGGGTTAGATAAGCTGTGAGGTTCCTTCTGTCCATCATGGAGCCCTCCTAAACTCACATTCATAAACTAAAACTCACAGTCTAGTATATAATTATTCACAGCAGCATTTAACATCAGTATCATTCTCTAGTTATTCCACATGTCTATGTTTTATTTCCCCAACTTGATTGTAAGACCTTTAAGGATGGAGTCTAGGCCTTCCTACTTGTTTATCTTGCTTACTTACAGTTCAGGGAATAAAATCAGTGTTCTATATAGATGGATAAAGATTTATTAATCATTTACTATGTCCCAGGCCCTACACTATATGGTAGTGATACAAATGAAAGTAAAAAAAAAAATTCTCTAGACTAAATGAGCTTGAATTCTAGTGGGGGAAGACTACGTTTACTAGTGAGCCAATAAGTGGTGCTGGTAGAGGGGAGGGATGTTGCTGTCAAAGAGGTAGAGAAGTCCAAAGAGCTAGCAGTGAAGTCCAAAGAGCTAGCACGGCCTCATGGAAAGGTGGTCCAGGAAACAACTCACCTTTCAGAAGAGAGGGCTACAGGGCAGAGGCATCTTTAGAGTGAACAGTCTGCTCAAATCTACCATTGGACCGGTTTTGAAATGAGAATGGTTCTAATTTAGTTTTTAGGTCAAAGAGGTAGCCAGTGTAATAGAAAGAATAGGGTTTGGAGTTGGGAGACCCAGATTGGCACTTGGCTCTTGTCCCACGACTTGGAGCAAACCACTTCTCTAAGCTTCAGTGTCTTCACCTCTTAACTAGGGGTTATAATACTTGTGGGATTACTTTATAAGGTTGTGAGGACAGGTTTTTGTAATACATATAGTGTTACAAAAATGTAAGCTACTATTGTTTTGGGCTTTTTTGTATATGAAGTTGTGAACTTTCATGTACGTTTTAAGAAAATGTATATTAATGTAGCAATAATAAAACTACATTGTTTTTGTGTTCCCATCTGAACTTCCTTCTGTTCTCTTCTGTGCATTTTTTTTGGGAGGTGAGGCAATCAGGGTTAAGTGACTTGCCCAGGGTCACATAACTAGTAAGTGTCAAGTGTCTGAGGTCAGATTTGAACTCAGGTCCTCCTGACTCGAAGGCCTGAGCTCTATCCACTGGGCTACTTAGCTGCCCCTCTCCTGTGTATTTTTAAAATTTATTGATGCACATTTTTTTATTTCCTCTCTAAATTTTCTACTGCTACCTACCAACTCCTCTTTCCCCCAAGAATTCTTCCCCTGTAAAAAATAACTATGGTGACATAAAACAAATAAATGATTCACTTACTATGACATAATATGAAATGAATATGTATGAAGATGTATGTCTCATTCTACAATTCTGGTCCATAACCACTTTACTACTAGATGGAAAAAAAGTTTCTTCATCATTCTTCTGAAGTTGTGACTGATTACTGCCTTGACTAGGTTTCTTAAGTCTTTCAGCGTTGTTTTCCTTTGCATTATAGATGTTACTGTGAAATTTATTCCCCTAGTTTTGCTCATTTCACTTTGTAGTAGTTCATACAAATCTTTTGAGGTTTCTCTGAATCTGTCATAGTCATCATTTTTCATGATAATATTCCATCACTTAGATATATAATATTTCTCTCAACCCTTTCCTACTTGATGGGCAATTGTTGAGTTTCCAGGTTTTTGCTGCTATACAAAGTGATGCTTTAAATATTTTTGTACATATGGGGCTTTTCATTCTGTTTTTGACCTCTTTGAGGTATACACCTAATAGTTGTAGCACTGAATCAAAGGGTTTGCACAGTTTGCTACTATTATAATCTCAGCTGATGCAATATCTTGTTGCAGAGCATGAGGAAATGGATTCATTCTATGAGATCCTTCAGACCAAGTCAACATATGGTTTGACATTCAGAAACTTCAGTGTAAGGAGGAGGGTGGTGGTACAAAGCATGTTACAGAATATGGCTCGTTTATGAGAAACAAGCATCCAACTGCCAGAAGACTCCCTGGAAGCACCTATATATCATGCCTCTATATCATCTTCCAGAATATAGACTGAAGGTTCTGAACAAAGCAGTCTTATCACATAGGAAATGACTATTTACTGAGGTGGGAGTCATTCAAATATTTGTGCAGTAAAACCATCCATGAGTTAGAGCAAAAAGCAAAACCTATGATAAATTAGGAGGGATAAAGTTGAATAGGCACTGGGAACAACAGAAAGATCTTCATCTCCACCTATTTAAAACAGCCTTCAGTGCCTAAAAAAATAAAATAGAAAAAGTCAACTTAATGACTTTATCATTTTCTGCAAAGGTTTAACTGATGAAAAACTATGGCCACAATGAATAAGCCAAAAGAGCCCCCAAAACTGCATTAGCCAGAAAACACTTGATCCTTTTACCAAGTGGAGAGACATGAAAGTCAAGGGCAAAAATGCTTAATCACCCTACTCTTGTTCCAGTTCTGGAGAATAACATATTGCTTAAGTCTTCAAACATCTCTAAAAAATATCTAAGTAAAAGTAGAAGAAAATTTCCATTTGAAAACCAGAAATAAAATTCTCCGTATAACTGCTGAGCTGTATATAATTTTCTGTTGTGTAGGCTTAGAAATGTTATAATGGTTAGGTACTGGGATGAATTATCTGGCAATTAAGATTACTCCACACTAGAAAAAGTTACTGAGAGGGCAAGCTGAATGCTCTCTGCTAGAGACTTTTAAAAGTAGAATAGACTGTCATCTTTTCAGAATTAGATCTGGCAGAAATGAATACAAATCAACAGAAAGCTTGGTGTGAGACTCGAGTGGACCACATCCTGAGTTTTCATAGATAAAAATGGTAGGAAGATAGAAAGTGGACTGAATTTTTCAGTGTTTCATTAATTAGCTATTTATGCATCAGTGATAGAGAAATCAATGGATTTGGACATTAACACTTCATTTCCCTCTATGCTTGAAGCAGAATTTGAAATGTCACTTAAGAAGAAAAAGTCAGAAAGGGTGATTGGACTAGACAAAATGTATGCTGAGGAAATCAGTATGGGAGCAAACACAGTGTTGAGAGCTTTGGGGGCTTATTTTACAAGATACATCAGGGAAGG